TTTTTTGTATCTTGAATCGAACTAGGACCTTGTGATTGCCAGGCAGGTGCTTGTGCCACTGAACTATATCCCCAGCCCAGTACTACTGATTTGTGTTTAAGGGCCTATTTTCTTTATCCATTCATTGGCTGATCAACATATAGGCCACTTCCAAGATTTAGCTGTTATAAGTTGTGCTGCTACAAACATGGGTAGGCATGGATCAGTGTAAAAGGATGTCTTTAACTCTTTCAGAAAGATACCTAGAAGGGGAAAATCTCAGTTGGATGGAAATTCTCTTTTGAGTGTTTTGAGAATCTCCATATTTATGTCCATAGTAGTTATACTAGTTTGCATCTGAGTTAGACACTTTTTTAAACAAACAAGCAAAAAATGATGTGGAAATTTCCAGATCCTAAGAGATGTAGAAATCAAAAAGCATTAGTCTGTTATAGAAAGCTTTATTCTATTAAAAAAAAAAAAAAAACCTCAAAATGTTAGCAGGATTATCACGAGTTTGCATAGGTCCTATGCATGCTTTTTGGAAATAATAACAATTAAAAGTAAACAACAGACTTGCATAAAAAGCCTCAATTGCAAAGAGAATATGATAAGGGACTTTTACCTTGAGAAGCAAAAAAATAATTAAGTTGGCTCTTAACAAGAGTGAAAAAATAAAATGAAAGGATTCCAGCTTGAGCAGCTAGAGAAGGAACAGTACCAGGTGATGCGGTTCAGATGGGCACACCGGGCAAAAGTATTACGCAGCATTATGATCGGCGGGGGGCATCAATCACGAACTCAGTCCTGGGTGCATTGTTCGGCAGGAACTCTCATGGCTTGACCGGCGATTTCAATCCTGGAGGCTCTGCTGGGATCCGGGGCGTCATAGGTTCAGGGCAATGGAGATCCAGGGCAGAGCTGAAGGTCCTCTAGGTCTCAGGTCCTGGTGTCCTCAGTCTTGACTCTGTGATGAGATACGCTTGGTAAATTTGGGCTCATAACCCTGGTTTTACTAACCTTTTCACAGCAAAATGTCCATGTGCACAGCTGAGCTGGATTTCAATCTGAGTTTCACAAAATGAAAGTCAAACTTTTTCCACTTTGAGTTACGTAGCAGGCATTTACTTGTAGATCCATGTCCGGGTCACAGATGCACCGCTTAAATGGGGCTGTGGCTCCAGCACCTAGCGTTAGGAGAAACTGGCACCAGGTCCCCTCCTCTAGGGGGCGCAGTCGCCTCCTGGTGGAGCCCTCTTCCCTCCTCATCCAAAGTCAGGCAAGCGCGGGCCGCCACGAGGGGGCGACACAAGGCTTCGAGGTGCCATGGTGTCCCGGGTCGCCGGCTACCTGCGCTTGCTCATCTGGCTGCTGCTTCTCTGGCCCCGGCTGGGCGCGGACCCCGGGGATGCCGCGACGCCCCGCTCCCAGCGTGGCCCAATTTCCCTTAAATCTGTGACACCCACGCCCACGCCCACGCCCACGGCGAAACCAGTGGTCCTTCCCAAAGGTGAGGTTTCCGTCCCTGCTCCTGAGCGTGCTGGGGTAGAGCGTGGGCTCAGGGAGGATGGGCTGCGGGGGCGGTGCTGTGTGTGGGGCGTCTTAGGTATGCAGAGGTGGCCTGGGCCTCCCTGGGAAGGGGACGCGGCCTCAGCACCCTGAACCCTGTCCATTCACTGATCTGCCGCAGCCTGTGGTCAGAGGAGGATAGTCGGGGGAGAGCCGGCAGCAGAGCGGATGTGGCCCTGGCAGGTCAGCCTGCAGGCCGAGGGCGCACACCTCTGCGGGGGCTCCCTCATCAGCAGCCGGTGGGTGATGACCGCAGCACACTGCATATTCGAGTGAGTGACTGGGGAGCTGCTTGAACCCTCGTGTCAGCAGGGCTGGTCCCAGAGGGTCCTCTTCCTCCTCAGGTGAATTCGGTGCCAGCCCCAGGTGGGGTGAGTCCCGAGCATTTGCACTTCTAACCTGTTCCCAGGGGAACCACCAGCCAGTGTGGGGGCGCAGGAGAGGAGGAGGCCCGGAGGGCAGAGGACGGAGTGGGAAGGGTGATGATGATCCAGGTGGGTGGCACAGGACAGGTGGCAGGGGAGGTGTGTAGACCTCAGGCTTCCTCCACAGCTATCTGGACTACACGGTGAAGCTGGGAGACACACACCTGAAGCATGAAGCCCCAACGGCTGTTGTGGTCCCAGTCAAAGACATCGTTATCCACCAAGAATACGTGATCTTGGGAGCAGTCTTTAATGACATCGCCCTGGTGCTGCTGTCCTTCCCTGTGAATTACTCCACACACATCCAGCCCGTGTGCCTCCCCGCCAAGTCCTTCCAGTTAGAAGTTGGTACAACATGCTGGGTGACCGGATGGGGCAAAACACAAGATGGTGAGATGAGAAGCCAGGCGGGGGAGCTCCCAGGACTGGGAGGAGGCTACCAGTGGCCTGGCCGTGGTCCCCAAGCTAAGGGGAGGCAGGTTTCCTAGCAGGATGCAGGGAGAAACTGAACAACTGTATGGGACTTTGTGTTGATTTCTCAGACCTGGGGATCCGAGTCCCAATTTGGTGGGATGCGTGCAGGGTGAGTTTAGCTCAGGGAGATGAGCTGTCACGCAGGTGAGGCTGTCCCTCCCTGAAAGCACTGCCTTGGTAGACAGGGCACTTCCTGTTTGTCAGAAGAGGCCAGACAACTCTCAGTGGTACTCTTGGGATCTTCTCTTCATTTGGTCCCTTCAGGGCACCATGAGGCTGTGGGTCTGCGACCCTGCTCTGGGCAGTAAAAACACTGCCCTGATCCTCAGGACACCCTGTCACTCCTACTTGTGGTACTTGGTGACATATTCTTGGTCCTTATTTCCAGACTTTCCAAACTTGCCTTCCTCCCCGGGGCTGCTGTCATTCTACTGTCTTGGTTTAGAGCTTACTACCCTCCTAGATGCAGCTCAGGCTGGGGACTCACTTCCTCCAGGGTCAGATGGGGACAGTAACCAATGGGAAGAGGATCCCTGTGTGGGCAGACACTGTACTGAGACCCAGAGCAGGTCGTGCAGCCGCTCTCCTCCTGTCAAAGTCACACAAATCCTCTGATGCCTAAATTCTCTTTATAGTCAAATGGGCGAGCTCGCCGACTCAGCTTCAGGAGACCAAGGTGAACATAGTTGACCGTGAGAAATGTAATCGCAGCCTCAAGTACTTGCTGCAGGTGTTGTTTAATGTGGTCAGTGAAGGAGGCCTTTGTGCTTATGGCGAAGGAAAGGATGCCTGCCAGGTTAGTGCAGTGGCCTCTTGGTGAACTTTGCTGCAGTTGTCCCCTCAAAGGCCCATGATCCTCAGCCCTAGGGCCTGACTTAACCTTTAGCCCCTCCACTTACCCATATTCAAGGGAAAGGGACTTGAGGACAAGTGCCCATGGCTTTCCTGGGCTATCCTGGGTCCATGGCCCCCAGGGGGGAGCCCAATGCCCTGGTCCAGCAGATGCCATGAGCAGTGAGGTGGTGGATATCAGTGGGGAGGAACTTGGGCTCCTGTTTTTTTTTTTTTTTTTTTTTTTTGGAGAAGGGTCTCGCTATGCAGTTCAGGCTGGCCTTGAGCTCACTTTGTAGCCCAGGATGGTCTCGAACTCACAATGATCCTCCTGCCTCAGCCTCCTGAGTGCTGGGATTACAGGCTTGGACCACCATGCTCAACCTTTGGGCTCCTGTTTAGAGCCTCTTCTTTGGCACATGTAGTACACTTGGGTGAACAGTTTAGTCCTTGTCATCCCTTTACCTTGGGTCCATTTTCTTAGTTTCTGTTCAATTCTTTGGAAACCAGAACTTTTGAATAGGGAGATGATTTTTATTTGTTAATAAAGTTCCATTTGGATGTCTCCTCACAGTCACAGAGCCCCCCAGTGGCAGGAGTCTGGGAAGCCCATGTGTGCCCGATGCCGTGCTCTGCAGGCCACTCAGGCTCCCTGACACCAATTCTGTTCCTAGCATTTGTTCTTTTCCGTTTCCACAGGGAGACTCTGGGGGCCCTCTTGTCTGTGAATTCAACAATACATGGGTGCAGACGGGCATTGTGAGCTGGGGCATTGGCTGTGGCCGCAACCAAAATCCTGGAGTCTATACAGCCGTCAGTTTCTACAAGGACTGGATTGTGAGAATAGTGAGTCGGTCTACACGCTGGGACACAGCAGGCCTCCTTATGGCATGCCTGTGTCTGCTGCTGCACCTGGCATCCTGGTGACCCTGCAGTCACCCTGGCTGCTCTCCCCAGTTCAGTGTTTCCCCCTAGCCCTCTCCCTGACCCCCTTCTGTTCCAGGGGCCTGTGTTCAATTTCCAGTTTCACCCATCACTCCTGAAAATCCCTCAGTGGAGCACAGCAAGGAGACTGGGGCTGCAAAGGGTCCTGGACCTGAGTATTGGTCGCTGTCACGCATACACCAAGCTGTGCCATGCATGAAGGAAGAAGATGAAGCCTGATCAGAGGCACAGCATCCTGCCAGGGGCAGCCTGGTGATGCCCCGATGGACATGTTGGAGAACATCTGCAAGCAGAGATGTTCCCGGCCATGGAGCAAGCCCTAGACCTGGCCCTGGTGTCAGGCTGTGCCCTGAGCCTGTGTGAGGTCATGCAGCTGGGTGACTGTTGAGAGCAACAAGCAGGCATCACCAGGTTCCTGCACAGGTGCCAGGCTGGGATTCCACACAGGGCTCTGTGTCTGGGCTGGCAGAAGTCCCCTGTGCCCCAGTACGGGTCCATGTGTCCAGTGAGTGCATGGGGCACACTCCCAAACCTGTGGCTGCATCCGGGTGCACTGCATGTTGTGCTGAGGCGGTTTTGCAATGTGGAGGTTTCAGACTGAACTAATAAATGTTTTCAGAGTGTCCCAGGTGTCCTGCCTGTGTCTTGGCCTGGGGGTGGCGACGCTGGGAAGAACTTTCCTCTCTTTAAACTTCGGAAAGCTGAGTGAGGCATGAAATCTGCCGCACTGCGTGAGGTGGAAGGTGGCTTCAGGCTGGCGGGTTCTGCCGCTGTGGCCTTCATATCCACCCAGGGTACTGAATGGAGCCATGCAGCTGGTTTTTCTCTCTTGGCATCCTGGAAGGAGCAAGGCAGGTGTCAGGCAGCTGCATTCCAAAGGGGCAGCTCCTCTGTGTCTTCTGGAAAACCTTCAGCCCAGAGTAGCTTAGATCAAGCTCCAAGGAAAACCAAGGACTGAGGCAGAGGGACATGGTAGGCTGGGGCCCTTGTTGGTCTGAGCCTGCCTGGCCTTTGTGCTCTGAGGTCCCTGGGTAGCCCTTTGTCACCGCGCAGACCGCTTCCTGCCCCCATTTCTTTATATGTGCTTGCATCTGTGCAGTCACTTGCTTTGTAGTGGATTAGGTGTGTTCTGCATATGCAAAGAAGGCCTGAAGGTTGCCCGTCTGTAAAGATGTTGCAATCTGGACAGGATTGCACTAACGTTAAGGGACAAATATAGACAAATGGACCTGGGGATGTGGTTTCACACTCCTTTATTCCCAGCACTTGGGAGGCTGAGGCAAGAAGATCACTGAGAATTCCAGGCCAGCCTGGTTACATAAACAAGTTTAAAGCCAGTCTGCACTACATACTGAGACCCTGTCTAAAAAAAAAATCCCTAAAAAAATACATGTGTAGATAATTGGAACAGGATCAGGAGCCAAGGAACACATTGATGCACTGTTGTTGGCTGAATGATTTCAGTGAAGGTAAACTTCAGTGGGGAAAATGGTAATGGTGCTAAGCCTGGGTGTGTAGCTCAGGGCTTGCCTAGCATGAGGACCCTGGTTTGATCCCCACCACTGCAAAAAATAAAATCAATTAATATAAGATGAGTGGTAGTAGAAAAAATGACCTTCATCTTTACTTTACTTTATATGGAACAATTTGTTCAAAATGTATTTTCAAATTGAATGTCAAACCTCTATCTATTGCAGATATTAAAAGACTAGAGAGAACACTGGGAAACAGGAGAATTTTATTTCAGGATTCTAGGTGTACACTGACTTAGCTATACTTCTATGTGTCCAAATTGCTGAGTGTTAGACAAAGGAAAGTCTCCAGTTGTTATGGTTGATATATTGTGTCAACTTGGGAGTCTAGAGGTTTGGCTAAGTGACTCAGGAGGAAGCCAGGCGTTGGGTATTTTGTCTCAGCAATGAGAGAAAAGTAACCAAGACAGAATTTGGTACCAGAGGAGTGGGGTCATTGCTGTGACTGTAGTTGACCATGTGGTTCAAGACCCTTTGGAAATGGCTTGTGGGAAGTGTTTGGAAAGGTTCAGAGATGTCGCCTGAAAGAGAAGCGCTGGAACACCTTCAGCTGGTCTGTCTGGGAGATCTGGTCAGAGCTCTGAAGACCAGAAGGCTGACAGAAATCGTGCCGGTAAAGACCAGGTTCAGGAGGTTTCTGCTGGGAAGAAGGACTTCATTGGTTGTTGGACTCCAGACAATGTGTGTTATGGCTTGGCAGAAAGTTTGTCTGCATTTTGCTTGTGTCCATAGACTTTGCGTAAGACTGAGATTAAGGGCGGCAGCGGACTGGTTAATCTGGCAAAAGAAATTTCAAGGCAGTCGAATGTTGGGGAAGTGGCATGGCTATTGTTGGGGGCTTTCAGCCAGATTTATATTAAGACTCAAGAGCAAAGAGCCCAGCAGGATGATTTAAAATGTG